ATTCTATATCGTGCACCAACTTTCCTCACCACGTTGGACCACAGTCAGCCAGCACTTTGATGAACCGACGAATATCGCAAAGAATTTGGGTCCCCGTTCTCTCTTCTTTTCCATTAGCTGTCTTCTTATGAATATATGGCCCAAACAACCTCAGTCTCTCCTGAACCCATATTGTTCTTCACCAAAAATGTTAGAATTTGAGTATGTTGTCTAATCTAATACACTGCAACAGCATGGACACATCAGCAGGAAATAGCATAGGCTAATTTCGTGGTGGTTGTTAGGGCCTGAGCAGCAGCCTTTGTTACTTATTGATATTATAATGTCTTTCGTCCAGTTCTTTGAAATTTCTTATTTCTACCATACCTATCCAAAGAAATTTAGAAATGCAAATACGTGTTTATTCCAAATTCTTTATTTAATACTGGTTGTATTTCATCAGTTCCTGCAGGTCTGCCATTTTCAGTTGACCCTAGACTTCAGTCACTTCTTCAAGGATCTGTGTTTCGGTTCAACGTCCATCTTTGGTCCAGATAAAATATAGCACAATGAATCTTGTTTCAGAACTGCGTAACTGTTTAGTAGTGATTCACAGTGTTTTTTCCATAACTCACTGATTTCAGTACGATTTGACGTGCTATTACCGTTTTCTTTCGTAGGGGATAATAAGTGAGGTTTCTTTTTGTCGAAGTAGCACTAGACTTTCCAGAAAGAGGTATGCATATCGCTTATCCGAGCCGCATCTGTCATTATTTCAGCCTGATATTTTGAGAGTTTCAGCCTCTATATTTCCTCAATGACCTTCTAAATCGTTTTTTGTACTTTTCTTCTGAAACTATTTCTTCGCGAGCATGAACTTTTCCTGCAACCGTTTAGTTTCTAAACTTATCCACGACCTCCCTTCCCTTTTCTTCCGTGCGTGCTTTTTCTCCTTCGCACTTTTCTTCCTATAAAACCTCGATAAATCGGCAAGTTCCATCTTTGGCCAAAACTGGCTGGAAACCTGGTCCCATTCATAAAGGCACTTTTTGTGTGGTCGTGTGTCAAACAGGTTGTCCATTTAGTGATTTGCTAATGTTGAAAACATTTTTTTACGAGTATCAGAAATGGTTAGAAGTGCATCTAATCTCAGGGTGAGTGAAACACTTGTACAGCAGCATCTGTGGTAAATTTTGAATCGACCATTCAGCGTCAGTACCACACGAGTCCCTTGCTGAACATTATGTACATGTGGCACCTGGCATATATGTTCCCTTTGGCACGGTTCCGTATAGAGCAAATAGTGTTTGAACTCTCGGTCCCATAATGGCTTAGCGTTGCAGTGACCGCATCATCCACTGTCTGGCGTTTGCTCTCGGCGCATTGCGTTGCCTGAAGTGAAGAATGGAGAAAACATGCTAAACGATGAAGGTGATGAAAAATTAATAAAATACATGTAACCCCGACGACATTTGGGTAGCTACCAAAAAATGCAGCATTTAGATTCCGCCACAGGCAAATGTATAGTCATGCAACTACTGATACCGACTGTACATGGCGCAGTGCGTATGAGATGTGATGATCTTCAGAGTAGGAGGGGAACCTCGGGCTTGAAAATCTTATTGTGTCAATCATAATGTAATCTTGTCATAGACTTATTCCATACTCTGACAGTGTCGCCAACCAGTTTGGT